TGCGCTCCTCTGGATTGGCAGGCCACGGTCGAAGCTCGCTAAAATTATAGACCGTCCTCCCACTCTACATCGAGCCATTTCGTTTTCGTTAAAGCTAAGAAAAAGTTATTAGCGTCTAGTAGCATCAGAATATTTCAGCCATGCCAGTTTGTTTAACAATATTTTTCTAAAAATAACTCTGTCCCTTGTATGGCTCAGTTTCTCCGGCTTTAGCATACGCTTTGAATTAAAACTGTTGACAAGATTGTAACGAAAATACTGATTGATGCAAACATGCCCTGAAACAAATCCACACCTGATTCTGGTTCTCTGACTATGCTGATTAAAGCCAGCGCCCGCCTCCCTCAAGCCGGACGGGGTCTCCAGCTTCTAAAGAAATTGTCTGTCGAGACGTAAAGGTGACAGAAAGCGAGGACACAGGGGGATGTACGGAAAAACAGGGTTTGAAGCGCTTGGGGTTCTCCAAGTTGGTTTGAAGAGGTATCGAGACAAATACATCGAATGCAATATTTTTCTCCTTCTTAGTCTTATCCCAACCCCCAGATATAGTCAACTGTTGAGAGAAGACTGAAGTCAGCCCTTTGCCAGCGCTAGAATGAAAAGGCTAAGGGAAGCCAAAAATGCCTGTGGTCTCCGTGGACTACATTAAATCACTAGGTGGCTATATTTAGGTGGATAATGAAAAGCGTAAAACGGTAGATAAAAATCAGTTGCTATGGACTGTCTAGGATTTCGTGTGTTTTTATTAATTTTCATAGGAGATTTTAAGATTTACGTGATCTCCCCGTTCCAAGCAAAGCCCACCCTCCTGACTGAGCGCTTGCGCCCGGCGGCGGGAAGTGTCGGGGGAGGCGTTCGCAGCCTCCCCGCTCGCCTCGGCCGGCCCGCTCCGCGCTCCACCAGGGGCCGGCCCGGCCCGGCCCGGCCTTTTTGCATGTGCGGCTTGCGCTGCGGATGAAGCCGGAGGGAACCTGAGCTGCGGGCTGATGCTGAGGCAGGCGGGTGGGGATGACACCGGGGGGGCGCGTCAGAACTTCTGCTCGGGCCCTGGTGTTCCATCTTGCAAGTCAGCTCTACAGGGACACCAGGGAGATTTGGCTTCGACGGTTCAAGAAAGGCAGGGGGAATATGCTGCCGCCGCCTCCGCACTTGCAGCATCACTATTCTCTGACTGAGCAGGACAAGAACAGCCCGGGTCTCGACTACAGAGCAGCTGCCCTTGCAGCCTTCTCGTCTCCCGGTTCACTGGCCCCCACAATGTCCCCTTGCCCCCGAGCCTCTGTTCCCCTTCCTAGGGCGCCGGCACCAGCGGTAGCACCAGCGAGGGCCACCGGGGCCGGGTAAACAGGAAAGTCCTGTTGGATTCCCAGGTGAATCTCCCTGAGCCGAGGGGAGGAGCAGCCGAGGCGGGAGCAGAGCACGGAGCGGGAGGTGGCCCCTCTCCCCCCGCCCACCACTCTGCGCGGGGGCGGTGGGGACCGTCGCGGCCCTCCGGCTCCTCCGAGGGGACAGTGGGATCCCGCAGCATGCGGGCTTTCCGCTGGGATTTGTGTTCTGTCTTTTAATAGCTACACTTTGCCGGTTTAAAAAAAAAATTCTTATCTTCAGTGAAATCACTGTCACTGAGAATATGTGACCATGGAGCAGGGAAGGGGTTGGAAAACTGCGCAGGATTTGAAATGCGGCAAAGTCCCACAGCGGTATTAGCCTACATCATAACCAAAATTTAATCCCCCCGCAGCAACTGCATCACTGACAGTCGGCAGCACGGCCATCCCCTCCCTCTCGGCTCGCCAGCACTGTAGGGGCACCGACAACCTGTGGGCATCCACGGGGCCTGGCGGTGCGCGGGGGGTCCGCGGGGCGAGCAGGTGTGGCCGGCTCGAAGGGGCCGCCGAGCCTGTGTGCCTCTGCGGGATTCACCAGCCATGCCTAGTCTCTTTTGGTTTATTTTTTTCCCCCAGGTTTTGACTGGTGTTTGTTTTATTGTTGGTTTTGCTTTTTTCTTTGTGGGTGTTTTTTTGGTGCTTTTTTGTTTGTTTGTTTTTGTTTGGTTTTTTTACAGATTTTTCACGCGGCGAAGACAGCGGGGCTGCATCTCTCGCTTTGTCCCACGCCCAGACCAGCTACGTGCCAGCAAAAGCCTGAGGTCCCCTGCGCTACTCTCTGTGCCCGTTCTTCCTTATATTCTTGTTTTTTTCCCCTCCAGTGGGAATATATACACATAGATGTGCAGGATTATTTTCAGGTGGCCAATGCTCAGGATTTCAAACCAGGTAGCGAAGCGGCATCACTATCTCCGCATTAGCTGGGCTTGCGTCACGGATTACGTCATCGGCTCAAATCCCTGCACCCTCCCTGCCGTACCTGCCCTGAAGGAGCAGTGAGATCGGGGCGGCTCTGTTCCCCTGGTCGGGATGGAAGGCAGGCGCTTCTCCCCGCCATGCTCTCGGCCGTCAGCAGTCGGGGACTTAACCCGCCAAGAAGAGAAGTGACAGCACACCCAAGTGTTTCGTATCCTGTAAATACTGTGTCCGCTGGCTGGTGATGGAGATACCTGCCACATTAACAAATTCAGGTTTGGATCCAAAACTATCCTCCTAAAGGACACGGCGCAAGCAACTCGGGTGGCTCCTGGGCTGCCATTCATCTTTACTGCTTTATAGAAACTAAGAGCGGTACGAATTTTACCAGAAGCCCCGCATTTTTTCCATGCGTGCGCTGGTTTCTATTGGACGCTGCTGCGTACAAACGAGAGATAGAAAAGACGCTTTCTGTATCGGCCTGTAAGAACGGTATCAAATTGTCATTTGGGGCAGAGATAAGGTCTAAGTTCAAGGATGGGAGTTTTGCTTGCCAGGCACTCGGAAGTGTGGAAGCCCGCCTTCCCCTTCTCCCTCCCCAAAGCAACAGCGACAGTAAACCACGGATGCCAATAAACCTTAAAAAAAAGCAATACTGTTTAAGATCCGTCTCGAACACAGAAGCACAGCTACTGCACACAGAACGCAGAACCACCCTTGTCTCCGTGCCCCCGTAAAACGTTTGTCTTTGTACAAGAACGGGAAAAGAGAATGGTGCCCACAATGTGCTCGTCTGGTTCACTGCTTCCTTGCCGTGGTTGACTCCTCAAGTCCTTGCTGTTGGGGTAGCAAATACCCCTCTCAAAGTTGCCAAACAACAGTCTTTAATACCTATACAGGTAAAGGTATAGAGCACTTAATTGCTGTGGTACATTCCTACATTTTTAACACGGCATATTTCTCCCTTCCCGATTTCCGTCTGACACCCACGAGTGACTGGAGTGGGTGAGTGCATGTGCATCCTAGAATATGGCAACGTGGAAAATGCATTATTTCCTGAAATAATAAACAATCAGCTTGTTCAAATAATCCGGCTTTTACTGTGTTTTGTGTGTGGAGGAGTGCTTACCTCAAGTCTACTCAGGTTTCCCATGCATAAAAATTCTGCATTGCAAATCATCTAGGAGAGGGGTTGAATATCTAGAAATAGACACGTGCAGCGATTTTAAAAGGAAAAAAAAGATTTGTAGGATAAGCTATTAAAGAAAAAATATAGCGAAGGGGAAAATAAAAGAAGAGAAGCAGAAATGGTATTGGAGAAGTTAGGAAGGAAACACTCTATCTTCTCACAGCGTCACTTGATGAGACCATAAAGATGAGACCATTGTGCATTTTCTCAGGTTTTCAATATCCCCCACACATACAGTATTAGCAATTTTCGACAGCTATTGCCAGGGCTCGAGTTGGTTTCTCTCAAGTGAAGAAATGCACCTTTAAGTGGGAAATCTGCCATTGGCTAACCACAGTCAGAGATGTCTTCTGGGATAAACAGCATTGTTAATTCCTTCAAGCTCCATCTGTGGAAATGATAAAGTGCAGCCATTATGGAAGACTGCAAGGTTAAATTAATTAGGTTATTCCATTATGCTGCAATCTTCTGAAGATGATTGCTATTTTCCTCTTAAATGCCATTATTCCTAGATCTATCTAGCAGCTGATGCAATTAAAGTGAACATAATGTAAATTTAACAACACAAATAACACTTTCCTCCACGCATGTTTGAATGGGGCACGCAGGGGCTATATCACAAGCTTCCACTTCCTCCGTAAACATCTGATGTAACCTTAAAAAAAAATTCAAACAAACCAGTGTGTATTTGGATACTTTTCTTCGGCGAATTCTTGGATCAATACTTTCGTTTCATGTTTTCATGTTCTCAGTAATGTTAAGGGATCCAGTTACAAACTCTTGCCAGTAAGAAAGAAAATATGTCCCGCTGTGCACCCTCCTAAACGCTCCTAAGAAATAGTGTTTTCTTTTCATTTGGAATGACAATTTTGTTTGTCTGCTCTGCCCCGGCGAGCGAGACTATAGATTATTAGTAGACACATTTAATTCCGGACCATGACGCAGGCGACTGCGCCCAGGGGCCGACACACGCCCTCCCGCCGTAGCAGAGCCGGGCGGGGGGCGAGGGCACCAGGGAAGGCATACGGGGTCGGAGCCCACCGGGGCCAGGGCGCTGCCTCCCGCCCTGCCTGCTTCCACCAGGAGTCCCGGCCATGCCGCCAGCCCTGCCGCCCTGCCGCGCTCTCCCTTTTGGTTTATTTTATTATTTTATTTTATTTTATAATATTTTATTTTATTTTATAATATATTATTTTATTTATTTCTTTAAGGAGGAAGCGTGATTTCTCCAAGTCTTTGTAGTCCTTCATGGGTCATTATGGCTTAATGCAATTAACGTAACCTTTTGTAACCCAATATCAAGTACTTCCAGGACAAATCTTTAGACAGATCACTAATCGTAAAACAAGTTATGGTGTCTGGGAGTAAAAACGAAGCTATTTGCTGTTCCTGCTGATACTTCAGCTCCTGCTCCTCCCTCTCCCCTTTAGCTCTCGCATCTCGGGTTTATGGGGTCTGTTGAAGCGCTGCTTGATGTAACTTTTTACTTTTTTTTTTTAAGCCACTAAAAACCCAGCACTGAGGTTTTACGGTTTTCGTGACGAAGGCCGACGGGAATACGTCGCAAGAGGAACAAACCGCGGCTCTGGAGGCGGGAGTTTGCGCGCCAAGGTGAGGAGCATCCGCAGGCGGGGCCGAGGGACGGGGGGCGGCGGGGGATGAGAGCGGGCCGGGTCCCGGTGGCACCGTCCGCTCCTGATGGCCCAGGGTGTGGCGGGGGCCGGGGCTGGGGCCGCCCAGGCCTCCAGGGGTGGCAGGACATCCATCAACAGCGGCCCATTGAGCGGCGTGTCCGTCCCCCGGGCTCATTGCTTTTGCTTTTCTCTCAATTAGGGCTGGCTCTTCCCCCCGCTGCCCCTCACCCCGGGTGGAAGCTGGGCAGCGGAGCGCTGGGCTGAGAGGAGGATAACAGAGAAACTGTAACACGTGTCGTTGCGTTCACAAACATATATATTCTCTCCCCATTCCTTGTAGAGCTTTCTGCAGCACGCAAAAATGAAACGGGTTTGGCTGAGAAGTTTTATGTTTGATTAAACGACGAAAGGCACTTCCTGGTCTGCTCCTTGGTTCCCGCTGTGCCGCTTGGGAGTAAATCCAGGTGGGATATTTAAATTTGGTTCAAATGTCACATGGATCATTTATAGGTCGTTCAAGGTAGAACCACCACTTACCCCAAATTTAGACTTCTTTTTGCGTGCCTATGAATATATTTCTGTATATGACTGTTAGATAGATCATGTCGATACAACCTGCACAAACAGAGGCCCAGCTCAGTGATGTGGTACCCAACACAAAAAAATGAAACAAAAAAAGCTGGGAGAAAATCATACAGGAATTCTGGTTCAGGGGAATTACACCTCAGTACTTAAACTGTTAGATTCTGTTTGGGTAGATTATTTAATCTACCATACACCATCTCTATACTTTAATTTTCCCAGTCATGTGTGCAAAATTGGTCTTGTCCTGATTTCATTTTTTCAGCCAAGTTTTTGTTTGTATTCCTTGTTACTCCCAAGGAAAGAATATCCTTCCAGGGACCTGATAATGCAGGAAAATATTTTGTGTTGTCACAGGGTACTTGTTACACTTGCTACATTTTATGAAGTAGTCCTTAATATGTGTCATCTTTCACTGTTTTGCATTGGAGTTTTTTATGTCAAGAACAGGAATTAGGTCTACATATTCATTATAATGGTCTGTTTTCCAAAATGGATGTAACAAAGGTAATACTTAAAAGATCCCAATTGTATGGTTTTGAGGGGAAAAAAAAATAAAAGAATCACTGTAACTTGTCTTCCTTTGGAGAGACTGACAGGTTTTCAAAGAAATCCTGCAGAATGCACAATGCATTCACCTTGTCTAGTTTAATAGAGGCAGAAAATGATTATAGTGTGTTTTAATACTTGCTGTACATGTGACGTAGGAAGCCAAGCCTCAGAACAGTTTAAATGTTGATATACCCAGCTTGAAAAAGCTTGTCAAATAAATCAAACTGTTCTGGGGGCAAACCCATGTTGTTTTTAAACCACAGAGTGGGGCAGTGGGCGTGGTTACTCCCATGGCTGAATGGTGAATGTATAGATTTAAAATACATTTTGCCACACTGGTTTTCAGAGGATTGTTTTGGCCTCGTATTCCAATACCATGAGCCAAAACTCTGGTCAATGTTTTGACAACAGAGCCAGGAAAAACAAAAAAGGCTTACCCTGTGAAAAAGAAATGAAGATATAGTGAAGGAAAACAGTAGTCTCTCTGCCACTGCCTTACTCAATCCATATGTGGACTTAAACACAGGAAATACCCACCATTCACCGCAATCAAGCCAAAGGCTTGTGCATCAGAAAGTGCCTTGTGGAACTAATTGGACTTTATTAAGATTGTCATTGACATAGAAAAGCATTTTGAAATTTGAAGTCAGAACATTTAAAAAATAAGAAAAAAAGATAATCTCCTGCAAGAGTGTTAACTTCTAAAAAAATGTATTTACCGCAACACTACAAATGTGCATTATTATGGCTTTTAATGTAAATTAATTATAATATTGTGATGTTTGTGTTATTAAACTCTTTATGCTTACTTTTCATCTAGAGTCCTTCTGGCGCAGAGCATGTTCCAGGATCATTTCAGAGTGGAAGAAAATCTAAACTTCACCAATTTAAAAGAATAATAAAGAACATGCCTGGTACCTTTCATACAGACAAAGTTTACAGAGAAAACACAGCTACAAATAATAGGTCCTAGAGTGTGGTGGGTTTTTTGGTTTTTTTTTTTTTTTTCATTTAAAGAACTTAAGTGAAAACTTGTTGTCTTTGCCAACAAGTATTTGGCAAAGTGTTTATTTTAGCACTTTATGCCAGATACCTCCTTGTGAGGTTTTGGTGATGTTTTTCCTGATCACATTTCTTTTTTCCTTAATTTTGCTGTACTGCTGCGTTTAGATTTTTAGCATGGTGAGTCACTATTAGACCTGACAAAACAATGCTGTGATTGCCAATTAAATTCAACCTCTATGTAATTTTCATTGATTTCACACTCCTGTGAACCCCTGTGATCTTTATCTGTTTGATTTTTCTTTCTAGCGCTTTACATCAAATCAGGGGGACCATTTGTGCTTCTAATGGTACAGGCTCTTTAGTACACTGCTGTATGTGTATAAAGTCACTTGGCCTTCCAGATAGATGGGGAAGTATTTGAGGGGGTGACGTGTTTTCCACAGTTTTCAAGTCATCAAACAGAGATGCTGTAGAACTGTCTAATAAAAATTATCAATTCCTTCACACCAGTCACACAGGTACTGTGGCAGGACTAGGGACAGACAATTTCAGTACTTTGGATGGCATCTCTGTCTGAAGTAATTTTGTTTCCATTGCTTGTCTCTTTGATCCTTTCTTTTCACCCAAATGGTATTTCATCCAAATCTCATGAGATTTTTTTTCATGAAAAATTCTTCTTCAAAAATTCCTATCTTTGAAAGACCTTCAAGGGCAAACCTGTTCACCGAGAGCAAGAGTTGCAGTCATCATTTCCACATGTTGAAATCCAGCTGATCGAGATTTGGAATATAGATAGCTTCAGCTCCTGAAGCTGCACATTCAAGCCTTACTTTTGCCTGAAGTGATTTTATCCCTCTATGTAAAATATAATGGCAGTGGAAGCTTGCTCTCTTTTGCCATTTCTTAAAAGCCCATTTTACCTTGCCTGGTTCACAAGCTAGAATGAGATGTGGGTTGCCTAATTCATTTCCTGTTTCTAGTGCTAAAATACATTGAGAGAGTACCCCAGCTCTTTCTCCAGAGTTGGTCTACAGATGCCCACATCCTAATTCCAACTACCAGTTATTCTTCTGTCTTAAGCAGCAGCCTTATCCTGATATTTTGCAACTTTTGTAGATTTGAGTTCAGAAGTTATGAACCATTCCTTGCATTTTGTGTGGTCTGTTTGGGGAAAGAGTGGGGAGAAAATATGTGTGTAAATACATAAAATGGGATGACTTTATAGGCATGAGTCAAGTCTGATTGTAATGTAAACACAACTGATTATTGTGTTGGTAGATGTCTATACCAAAGTGCAGTTGGAGTACAATAGCCTATATGATATATTCAGAAAGTAACTGAATATGTAAGAAATCAAGAACAGACAAAACAATTATTTCCCTATAAATAAAATTGTTCATTCTCCATAAACGATTCTTAATTTTTTTCAATGTGAAACAGTGCATACTTGAAAAGCTGATCTGAACAGAACCCCATCCATGCTTCCAGCAACATTCCTATGGAAACAAAAAGCAAAAAAGAGAATAAAAGTTTGGCATCTTGAGATCTGGACTATGAAAAGATGCACTGTCATTAATTTTTAAAAATGAGAGCAAAGGACTATGAGCACTAAGATCAAATTCTGAGAGTTTCTATTACTGACTTTGGAGTGACAGCAAGTAAAAAACATCCCTGAAGGTCAATGTAATTAGATTTCTAAGTCATCTGTATTTTTTCTGATGAAATGAACATTAGGCTGATGTGTATTGGAAGCAGTGAAATTTAAAAGTTTTGGCTTCCTTTCTTACTTTGCAGCAGAATTTCCTTGGTGACTTGCCCATTACAGGTCTCTGCAAAACCAGTGTTTCTACTGATCCATTTTCTTTTGCTTTTTTTCTACCATAGACATATGAATGTATAAAATGGTGGCATTCTGTAAGGAAGCAATAACAGAAAGACAGTAGAGAGATACTGAAACAGAAAAAGAAAGTAAAGAAATAAAAGGGGGTGGTGTTGTAAGAGAAAAGGCAGAGATAAATGTGTATGGATGTAAATCTATTTCCTTAGAAAGACACTCGATGAAAACTATAAATTACAACATACATAACAGCAAAGCCTTTGCTAGATGCATCTGCATCTCATCCACCACATGCTGATCTGGTGTGTTGCACCTCTGTAGCATTTAATCGGAGCCGTGGAGACAGGCATGGAAAAGAGAAGACAGATGCAGTAGCCAAATTGAAACTAGTGTGAAAGTATGAACTCAAGGGAGGATAATATTGCCAAACCCAGTAACTGATGTTTATCTATGGCATCAGAATGCCAAAAGCAGTGAGGGCTGCCCTGAACCTGCTGTATCTCGGTCTTAGTATTAGCATGTAGGACTTGAATTTCATTCCAAACCCTGGTACTGTCAGTTATGCCTGTGGACCAACCTTTGAGTCTGCTTACTTTAAAGATATGTTTTTAATTCCCCAAAATTGTAACTAACTTCACTGATGAGGAGTGTGAACACAGTGACACAGACTATTAAAAACAGTCTCTTTAGTTTGTTAATACATAGTATCAGTAAGAGTTGTGGAACCTAGAGTATGAATTAGACAAAACTACCAAAGACAGTAAGATTTCTCTTATGAGCCATTGCAGAGTTCTTAAAATGATCATGTAATCAAATATTAAGTCCAAAATCAGTTAGACAGTCTTGGGAAACATCATCATCATGGCTAGGCTTCACGAACGAAGATTTAGGAAGGCTCTATCCACGTTTGTTACAGAAACATACTATTACAGATAAGTGATAGATCCTCAGCAGATGTAAACAGATGTGGTTCTACTGATGTGCTCCTCACACAGCTATGGGCTTATCTTCATAATAATCCACACACTGATAAGTGCTTTTTCCTCCCGTTGGCCAAATGGGTCCCTAGAGTGTTGTCCATCCTTTGGGGAGTCGAAAAATGCCAAGCTCAAAATGTATGTACTCTGAATTGAAGAAAATGCAGCTGTCAGCGTATATGAAAATGTATTACTATATCAAAATAAAAATAATTAAGTTGTGTGTGTTACTATGTGTCTTTAGTGGAAAAAAAAAAGTATTATTTTACACATTACATTTTCTAATATTCCAGGGTAAATGGCCTGGAAAAATCCAAACATTATTTTTAGCCATGTTTTCTCTCTCACTCTTTCTCCCCCAGTACCCCCTCCTGTCTCTACAAAAATTCAGGCCAATTTTAACCACATTTGAGAGAAGAGGACAACTCCCAAACATCGTTAAGTTCCAATAACTGCCATGAAAATTTGTGGTTGGATGGAAGAGAAAAACCGTGTTTGTTCTTCCAGGTAACTTGGCACCTGTTCAGCAAAGTCAGCTTTGCTTCTGCCTGGCAATGCCTGGATGCACAGCAAGCGCTCGTGGCCATGCATCAGCCAGTTCACCCAGAGCTCTTGGACAGCTTTAGGCTGCTCTCTCTTGCCGAAAGGGATTATCAAGTGGGGACGTGAGAGATGAATAGGGTTAATACAGTAGTAACATGCAGAGGATATAAGACACAAACACATAGGGGATCAGACTCTGTTAGCTACTCACAGAACAGCTTTTTCTTAAAATATATCTAAAGTAGTTATTACATTTTTCCCTAGACATTGAATCTTGTGTTTATGAAGTATAATCCTTGGATAATTTATCACTTTCAATAAATACTAGCATTCGATCTTCATGCTATGGCTCTTTCAATGAAGTCATTTAATTGAAACAGGATCTATGGTATTTCTACACCAGTGCATATAATGTTAGATTCTTTTAAAGGACAACACATTAAACTTCTCATACCCTTTGCCGCCAAGAACTTAAGTTAGCTTTACAATGCTTCCTATTATTTTGCACATGTATTTTGAGCATTTTCAAACTGATGTACTCAACATTTTGAATTCAAATGAAGAGTGTTTAAGAAATGACCCACTCATAAAAGCAAAAAGGGAAAAAAGGGGTCCTGGTAGACATACGGTGTTAAGTTTTTAACTAATTTTTGCCTATAGCTTTTGTTTTCATATAAGAAATCTGTAGCTGGCTTGGGGGCTGGACTACTCAGGTCCCCTGCATAGGCCAGAGGGAAGTCAAGAAAAGAAGCTTGTGCTGGGAGCCCTAAGTTGCTGCCTGGAGCAACCTCTCTTGTTCTGCTGACTACGTGAGAGTCAGAGAGACCTAACTCCCTGCTTAGGCACTACCTTCAAATGCCTTCAGATGGGTGGTGTAAACAACTGAGTGGAGAAGGAGCTTGTTCAGACCCTGCTCTCAGCATGAGATAAACAGCCACAACAATATAAGAAAAGGGGGTTTTTGCGCTTCAGGATGGACGTAAAGAGATGTAATTTCTCTCTGAGGGAAGGAAATTAGGACCCTCAGTTACATTACAGCCATGCAGCCTGCCATCACATCTTCTTCAGTGCCAGAGGGGCAGAAGTGGGAATGATCACATGCAGAGCAGACAGAGGTGGCTATGTCGTTTTTTATCTCCTTTTCACTCACGGAGCGGTCTCAGGGGCCGCTCTTTCACACGCCTTTTCCTGCACCAGTTTTCCTGTAGTGTTTTCACCTTCTTCAAGGGGATTTCTCTTGCTGCTTCTCCATCACTGGTCTTCTGTGGTCAGTTGCTCCTTTGGACAACTGAGTTGCTTCCAACTCAGATTTCCTAATGTTCCTGGAGCCACTCTTCTTACTTTCTCCTCCTCCTTTCACTGCCTCTCCTCTTCCTCTGTCCCTTGTTGTCTTCTTAAGGCTTTCTTCTTTCATTGCTTTCCTTCTTCTTTTCTAACTCGCTCCTTGGTAACCTAATTCATTTTCATGACTTGTTTCTACCATCCCTAGGAGGGTGGCTACCAAGTCTAAGTTTCTGTTCCTGTCAACATCCTTCTTTTTTGTTCCTGGAATTCTCAGATTTCATCCCTCAAATCTA